AAAATGGAAATAATATTTATAATATTTTATACAGTGCCTAAATGCCCCTGGAATTCTATACATTGCCTAGGTATTGGTATAGAATTCTTGAATTATACCGATTGCCGGTAACATACATATTGGCTTTAAACAGTATACTTGTAAAGGATAGAGTTTACAAAAAATAAATACTGACTTTATTATGGTAAAGAACGATGTCTACCGATGATGAATGCCGGTATATGAAAAGTATATAAGTATAATGATAATTACTTTACTTACCTATTCTAATAGTTCCTTATTACTTGACGTTATGCTGCAGTATAGACAATCCAAAAATAATTCACATCGCGTCACCAAAACATTCGCAAACACATCTACATACTTGTCTCCTAAAAAAACTGCCAGCAATAGTCCTGCCCTCGGTCAACTCACTTGCACCCTTATAACCCATAGAATAAAAATATATGTCAGTAGTGCAATATATGGTTTTGGCTTCTTGTCAATATGAATAAAATAATAATAAACATTATACAAATTAAATTTTGATTACTTCTGATTTACTTTTTATTTTCTAAATATCTCCCTTATATCTTATTGTACGAGTTCTGTACCGAAAACATCCAATGTTTTAAAAAATAACCTTTCTTTAAGGTAACTATCATCTGTCTGCGCCCAGTATTTAAAGAGCAATAGACAAAAAACAGTATTTTTATTTTTCCTGAAAACTTACTTTTTATTCTCCGGGGACGGCGATATGTCGTTAATTCGAAGAAAAAAGGTATCCTGATTTCTTTATAATTCTTTTAGGACTACTTACTGTTAGGAGTCAGTACATATACAGTATTTAGTGAGTGGCTTTATAATACCTACTAAAAATTTTATTTTTGTCTGCAATTTTCTACATGACTGTATTGTGCTTAACAAAACTGTCAATAAGGTCCAACTGGCAGTAGTATCTTGAAGGTCCAATGGACACCAAAAAAGAGGTCCAATGGGCACATTGAATATAAAATTTTGAAGAAGGTCCAATGGGCACCAAAAAGGAGGTCCAATGGGCACATTGAATATAAAACTTTTTGAGAAGGTCCAATGGGCACTTTTTGCTTTTGGGTCGAATCTTGGGTCCAACGGGAACTAGACCTTCCAAACTCCTAAAATCTATGAAATACTTGGCCCTATTTTTTTTTATAACGAATCATTTAGTGATTTCTTTGGATATAAATAATAAAGTTTATTTTCATCCCACCACCTCGGAAAGTGTAATTTTGCGCTTCGAAATCTGGCTGGAAAATTCTATTTTATTCGCTTGAGCGGCAAAGTAGATTTGAATTTAGAACATCACATATAATGAGTACTCAATATAATTGTAAATTCAAAACGTCATTAAACCTATTTAATGTAACCTCTATGGTGCCAAATTTATGATTAGAACTTTTTAAATTGTGAAAAAATTTAAATTTGGAACCTTCTTGGTTTCTTTGTTTTATTTGCGTGCTTCGCGCCATTCTAGTTTTTCACGTTTTATTGCTTAATATAATTAACATAACCTAAAAACTGTACAAAAAAATCAACTAAAATGAGTGACATTAGCGACGATGAAGTTTATCTAACGCCAACTGAGTTAACTGAAACAGTTAATAATGCGCAAATGAGCCTTCTCCCTCAGCAATCACGAGAGAAGTATTTGAAACAGTACGATATATTTAACATGTGGCGACTAGCTAAAGGAGCAAAAACTTTCTCCGAAAACGTTTTGCTGGCATATTTTATAGAATTATCTGAGACCAAGAAAGCAAGCACGCTATGGAGTACGTATTCAATGCTAAAATTAACAATTAAGATGAAGAAAGACGTTCATATCGACACCTATCATAAATTAGTGGCATTTTTAAAAAGAGCCTCATCTGGTTATAAACCAAAAAAATCGAAGGTTTTCACAGCATCTGAAATTGCAAAGTTTATTAATGAAGCACCTGATTCCGTATATTTAGCGGCAAAAGTAAGTCAATACGTGTAATTTTTTGTTGTTGATAAAATTGTACATAGTACTTACAATATTTTTAATTTGATTAATTTATTTACGATTATAAATACTTCTTTTGTTACAGGTTGTTCTTATTATTGGTATAACCGGAGCATGTCGAACAAATGAACTTACACTACTTAATGTCAATAACTTAATTATTTCTTAATTATTTTCTACTTCTTATTATTTTCTTCAATTTATAGATTATCTTAATGTGTTTTAATTGAAATAAAAATATTTTGTCATTATAAATTGTTTTCTTTTTCATTTTGTCATTTCCTCGCTGAGGTGGGATGAAAAGTTACGTATTGCACTCGAGTGGAAAGATTTTTCACCTTGTGCTCGTTTGTTTCCCTCGCTGACGCTCAGGATTCTAATTTAGAATCACTCGCTGCGCTCGTAATTCAACTTTAGAATCCTTCGCTTGCTCGGTCATCCAAATCGAGCACGCGGTTAAAAAGGAACTTTCCACTCTTGTATAATAAATAACTATTTTCTGATCACACTTGGGACAAGGCTATATGTGAATAATTCCTTTGATTTTCGTAAATGAACAAAATAAAACTTTACAGATTTAAACTCGATCGTCGACGAAAAATCGCAGTCTTTTTATTCTAAAGAATGTTTATTTATAATTATTATAAGTTAGAGATTTTGATAGATTCTAAAACTGTAACGCCATTGGCTATATTTTTCTAATAACCAATAGTGACCCTCCCTTAGCTTTGGAGTTAACTATACTTTTTGTTATCAGGCTTGTACTATTCATCTAAACATTTCCTTTTTAATTATCTAACTGATGTTGAAAACCGCATCAAAATCCATTGCGCGATTTACGAGGAGTGTTTTGCGGATATGAAGACAGACGCGGAAAACGACAAAATATTATTGTATAATCTGAGGCTATATATTCTAAGTAAGTAAAACCAATGTCATGATTCAGTATTTTAAGTATGATAACGAAATAAGCCTCCGCTTTGTTGTCTATCGTCCGATAATTTTTCAGCGAATTCACAAAACGTGTGGGTACCTATTTCTATTGCATCTAGGGTTGCCAGATGGCCGAGATTTCAGTGATTGTCCCGGAATTTTGGGTGTTCTCCCGTATCGAGTAATTAGACCTATTGTCCCGGATTCCGATAATGTGTTAGTTTCATAACAAAATTAACTAATAACATGACACCTGCTTGATATTTTAATTCAGGGGGGTGATGATTTGATGCTTTTTTTTCAGGGGGGGGGGGGGGGTACAAAAGTCCCGGAATTGATAAGACAGCATCTGACACGCACCTGCTTGATGTTTTAAACATATATATATATAGTAGCATCAAGGATGCTAAAACATCAAATTTCCTTTCTTTCTCCAAAATAGAAATTACTATACCAACTCTTTTGAATCGACAAAAAATTTAAAGAGGACCTTTGTGTTTTTTGGCGCAGATATTAAAAATTGTGCGGTAGAACAGAACCTTTAAAGTGTACAAGTCCGACTCGCACGTGGCTGAGTTTATTATAATAAATTGTAAGTATAATAAAAAAACAGTTCTTTTCTGGCAACGCAAATTGAGTTTATCTTTAGCTTTTTTTTCTTTATTACAAATAAAAATTGGAATGAATATCCAAGTTACGAGAACATTTTACTTTCATTTCGTATTTATTTGCCATCAATTGTGTCGTGTCGTGTCGTTACTACACGGGTCTCCGCGCGGATGCGAGAACAATGACGACGTTTTATTTTATAAAAACGTAATGATACATAATGTATACATTTGGAAAAAATCATAAGAAGAAAAAGTCATGTCTCTTTTGTTTGCACTACTAACGATGCCAACGTGGAAATAAATATAATTGTAAGATAGCCAAGTAAAAAAAATATTTTATGATTAGCATTGTGGTTTTTAGACTGTTGATTAGGTTCACCAAAAATAATTACTGCAGTAACCTAAGACGAAAAGTGATTTCACTTTACTTTGCTTGATCTGTGAAGAGACTAGGAGCGGTCTATGATAAACTCTCATGCAGTACATAAATAACTTCGAATATATAACTTATACTAGGTATTTGATTACATTAACTTCAACTTAAATAAAAAAAAACTATCTACTTAGAAAAGTTCCAATCACCGAAGTAGCTACTACTAACATCTATATCTTAATATATATAATTTTTCTGTGAGTGTGTATGTCACTGAACTTCTCTTAAACGACTGGACCGATTTTGAAAAAATTTTTTGTGTGTGTTCAAGGGGATCTGAGAATGGTTTAGATTCACAAAGATGTGTAGACAGGACAACGTCTGTCGGGTCCGCTAGCATATATATATATATATGTGTGTGTGTGTGTGTGTATGTGTGTCTTTTTTCTGTTGTCTATGTGAATAGAAGAATAAGAAAACTTCGGTAAGCATCTACCTACCTATTGCACCCGTATTTGCGAAAATACAAAATTATTAATAGTTTTGTCCATTCATTCGATCCCGAAGACAGCTAAGTGTGGAGCTCAAGCTCAGCTATGCTATCATTGAAAAGGCGACTCCTGCCGGTGATTATTTTGGTGGACAGGACGCGTTCCGGTTCATATTGTTACCGTCTTCCCTATAAAGGCACTCAGGTCAACCCATTTGTGCTGTACTCACCCAGTACTTTTCTTTAAAAGACTAGCTGTGCAGACGACGAGTGCAGGTTGATCATCTCCTCGAAGGTGTTCGGCCAGCGGTCCATGCCGGCGGCTATCTTATTGCACACGTTGTTCCGGTTTAAGTTGTCACCGTCCTTCATCTATGGAAACTCAAGCTAGCCATCGTGTGTTATACTAACCCAATAGTTGTCTTTAAAAGCCTGGCTGTGCGAGGAACGCAGATGGATCATCTACTTGAAGGTGTTCTGCCAGCGGTCCATGCCGGCAGCTATCTTGGTGGACACGTTGTCCCGGTTCATGTTGTTACCGACTCCCTCTATAGATACTCAGGCTAACACCCGTGTGTTTATACTAACCCAATAGTTGTCTTTAAAAGCCTGGCTGTGCGAGGAGCGCAGGTTGATCATCTCCTCGAAGGTGTTTTGCCAGCGGTCCATGCCAGCCGCTATCTTGGTGGACACGTTGTCCCGGTTCATCGCGTCGCCGTCCTCCTGAGAGGCTGGTGGTGCCACATCACCCCGCCCGGCGGCGGCGCTGCTGCCCGGCGCCTCTCTCTCTCTGCTGTGGATGGAGCTGAACGTTCTGCAACAACATTAAACACGCACATTAATTAGAATAAGGACGAAGAATTTGACGACCTTTGTGGCCGAGTGGCATTACGCCGGGTTTCAAGGTACTGTACTACTGTACTACTCGTAACTGTCGTAAGGTCCCTGGTTCGAAACCCGATGGGGCAAATGTTAGTATGATGAATATGAGCATTTGTATCTACGAGGGAAGGTTCAAAAGTTCGTGGCATTGAGGGGCTGGAGAGGGGTGGCGGGAAGTGTTTTAACCTAGTTTCAGCCCAAATAGACATTAACCTTTGAGATATCACTTACTTATAAAGAAGCCAATCGGGAAGAGAGCATCGACTATGAAGAAAAGTTTCGTGCGATGATCAAGTTCCTCACCAAGTCAGAAAAATCATTGCAGATCATTATGGAAGATCTGTCATCTGGGACTCTTGGCCCGTTAATACAATGATTTATGAGTGGAATAGCTTTTTTAAGCAGGGCAGAGGATCGATTAAAGATGACCAGCACTCAGAATGGCCACTCGAAGCGACCTCCTCAGAAATAGTCAAAAAAGTTAATAAAACTTGTACTTGGAGATGCGCGTTTGAAAATGAATCGTAGTAATAATTAAAATTATCATTTACAATAAATTTGAACATTCTTCTAAACCATCTTGGCGTGTTATATATTAGTGCAAGAGCCGAGAAATCTCACACCACTCCAAAAGCAACAGCTCGTCGAGTGTTTCTGCGAGTTGCTAAACTTGTGAAGCAAAAACAGAGATGAATTTATGAACCGCATTATTACTGAAAATGAAACTTAGGTTCATCACCATGAACCTGAGTCAAAAAAGATTCCATGCAGTGGCAGGGTGTGACATAATCGGCTGGGAAGATAGTTGCTACGATTTTTTGGGATTTCGAGTGAATTTTATTGATTGATTATACAGTAAAAGGTGTCAATATAATAGGAGAATACTACGCTACAATGCTAAAAGATAAATCTAATAATAAAGCAGAAGGAGAAAGGGACTCTAGTTGTGCTCCTCTAGTACGACAATGCACCCGTAGACAAGAGTCATATTGCTATGGCTGTCCTAATCAAATGTGGCTAGGAAAAATTTACCCACCCTCTTTAAAGTCTAGATTTAACACCTTCTGATTATTATATGTTTCCAAAACTGAAGAAAGAGTTGCGAGGAAAAATCAGGCTCGGGGACATGACAAAACATTTCTTTTCGAAGATATAAAATAAGTAATACAAAAGACCTAAAAAATGTATCAGGCTTAAGAGGGAATATATTGAAATTTAATTTCAGCCATCTTCTCCTCCATTCCACGAACTTTTGAGCCATCCTCGTCAGCCATGGCTGTTTATACGTATTTCTATGTAATAAAAAAAACTTAAATACATGTATCAATAAATGTATTATATTCGTTACCCCAGTATCCCATAACACAAGCCGTTCAGTTACTTTAAGGCTAGGTTAATTTGTGTAAGTGTTGGAAATATTCATTTATGTAATAGGTTCAAATATTTTTTGCTCTGCGAATACCTTTACAAATTGTAGTTCTAGACGGACAAACGTGCTTCTTTTGTTTTTACCGTGCTCAGTTGGGTAACTAAAAGTGGAATGTATATTCATTTAAAGACAGTTTATTCTGACTCATCTAAATCAGCACCGAATGAGGAAAACAACTGAAAATATTGAACGCATTCATTGATATAAGTTATATTACCTACCTATGTAGTTTACGGGTGACTGGCTCTTTGCACAGTTGGTGAATTTTATCAAACAAAACGTTCGGTTCTAGGAAACTGGTAACCATTCGCGTGTAGTGTTTAGGTATTCATTTTATTATTTATCAGTCTAGACAAAACACTATACGTATTTAAATTAAACGGTTTTAATTTTTATTTAATCCGATTTATTCTTAATGGCCTGCGTAGACGACGGGTTTTTGTCCGCGTATTAGGACTTGTCACGGACGCAACGCACACAGTGTGCCGATATTTTCTTGCTCGGAAATTTAGTGAAATGCACGCTATGGAAACAATATTTTGAGATTATGTTGTATTGTAATTAACATGAAATTTAAGTAAAAGAGAAAACCTTCTAATAGAGAACACTGCGTCTATCCCTTTATATTGGATTGATTTTATATTAGTATTGATGAGTTTTTTTTATTATAATATTAAATAATACAATGGTTCACGATCTTCCGTAAGATAATTAAATATTAAGCGTAACGTGATGCGAAAAACCTACTTGAAGTTGATTTATTCACTGAAATCTCTTAAAATAGTAGGCTCAATGGACTGACGCAACTTTTTATTGTGATTACTTAATTTTAAGTTTTTAATTCCATACTTAGATAACCCTCCTTAATTATTTGATAAATCCCATAGGATTCTTTTATTTGCATTTCTGATGAGGAAATGTATAAACGCTAAAGAATTCCTTCAACAAATATTTCGCCTTTCGGTCGTGATACTCTTTTTTGATGTAGGTATCATAATATGAAGAACTCCTTTATATTATAAAGTTCTTTTTCCACTTCTTTTATTGACACATTTCGCCTATATTGCGCAATAATGATATATGCCTCAAAAAAGTACTATTGAATTAAGGCTTCATATTGTTATTTTTTTTTAAAAGCACAATGTACTTTAAGATACTTGAAAATAAATCCATGTTTTAAGGTCTTTCTTTTTTTGTAAATTCGTGTGCGTTACTCGATGCAGTTGTAAGCAATCTATTACGGCTAGGGTATTAAACAATATAAAAATTTTCTAAAGTCCTGAATAAAAGCCGGACATTTCGATAAAAGTCCGGACATTTTAGTCACAAAATGCAAACATCACCCACTAAGTTACAGTGATATTATACGCGTGGTAGCAGACGCTCGCATCGCGAAGAGGGTTTGGTTGGTACATTTTTAAAGATGATTTATATTTTGTTTTAAATTAATGAGAACTTAATAAAGATTATTTGACTTATTTATTTTATAACTTAATAAGTATTTTTGCTCATATTCCACATAATTAAAAAAATCCGTACCAGGTCCGGACAAACGGAAAAAAACCGGACATGTTCGGACAAATCCGGACGGATGGTAAGCCTAATTACGGCAGACAAAAGTCCTCCACGGGCAAAAGTCCCTCCTCTGCGCAGGTTATAAAAGAAACTGAATCTTCACATGAAATTGCTTTTTAATTCTACTAAGGCCCAAGCACGAACTTTGACAGCACCGTAATCTTATCGTCATCGTAATATTTTGTTAGACGGATCCAGTTTGTTCTTACTTCCGCTGCTTAGTTTTTATAGAAACTTTGACGATGCGATACGGCCTCTAAAAAGCTTTTGGGAATTTTTCAATTTTATAAGAATAGAAAAAAGTCGCAACTCCGATACGATTTTAAATAAGGCACTCTATTCCGAACTTTATAAATATGCGAAATGTTCGATATGAGCTAAGTATAGTACTAAGAGCTATTCACACTTTCCAGATTCGTAATTCTTTCCTTACTCATCGAATTCTTTAATTATGAGTCGCTGTTAACGAAAAATATCAGCTATTAGCGTCTGAGCTCGTAATAATGTGCTAACAAGAATGTTGGAAGTCAACACACTGGTAAAACATGTCTGAACGTATTAATTTTGATTAATGACGTGCCTACTAAATAGAAGTTGAAAATTGATTCGTTTTAAAGGAATCACACAATTCCTTTTATATTAATCGAAATTTTAAACGTATGAAGCCCGTTTTAATCGATTTTGAAATAATTCCTGACTTTTCCAATCCTTTTTAGGTTCCGTGGTTACGAAGTAACAACGGGGTATTTATTCTATATCCGTAGTCACAAAAGACTTCTTGTCTCGTACCTTATTGAAATGTTTCATGAAATGGTTATGCAAAATCAACACATATTGATAACAAGTATGTTAATCAATCAGTGTATTTGACTTTGCTTTCTTTGAAAGCAAAAGATTTCTATACTTCATCAATAAACATTAATAGATGCTATTTGCGTGAGAACGTAGGCAGACATTCTGCTGACCGCTGGACCATGAGTTTGCAGATCCCGCAACAAATTGGAACATGGAGTATACGAGAATCGTGGAAGTTTTGACGACCCTTATTCGATTACAGACATAGGTACAGGCGAGTAGGAAATCTTTTACCAAACTAGGTTACACTGGTAATCAGAATCGAGAATGAGATGCATACGAGACGCGTGGACTTTTTTACTACCGACGACGTCATAAAAAACCAGCCATTGTGAGTCGGACTCGCCCAATAAGGGTTTCGTGCTTTATAGGTATGCAACATAAACCGTATCTCTTTTATAAGTTAACATAGAAGTTTGATGTTTTCACAACCTAAAGGGACCGAAGACCTGAGTATTTGGTTTAAATTTCTACCTATATATACTTGCACGCGTTCCCAAGATAAAGGGCCTTGACAGACAGACAGATAAACGCCCGGATTCTTTTTACGTTAACTTAGAAGTATAATTTTTTCATCTTCAAGGGACCGTAGACCTGAGCATATGGTTTGGGTTTAAATTTCAAATCGAAAACTCCATGCGTTCTCGAGATAAATCGCCTTGACAGACAGACGGACAAGAAAGTGATCCGAAAGGGTTGACTTTTTCTGGAAAAGAATTAGCCGTAGTAAATAGGTAGCTGCATTACTGAAATCGATGGGTTTCTGTTTTCCGTTGTCAAAAAAGTATAACAATAATATATAAAAAGACTACCATTTAAGATAGTTTATTTATTACAAAATAAAATTAACGGTTCGTACAGGCCGTGCCCAGGTCATAATGCGTATTAAATGGATTATCGATTAAGCGGAAATTCCGAAAAGCAGTGACATAACTAAGTTAAACAAACCGAACCGACCAGACCAAGTGTTACGATAATGTGGTAAATGTACTCTAATTAATTATTTTTCATTATTATTGGCTATACTTTCAAAATATCTAGGCTACATGCAACATTGTCACTGTTATATAAGA